TTTCTACTTTCCCTTTCATTTTCCTCATTCAACAACTCCTCAAAGTATTCCTTCCATCTTCTCAGCACACTTTCCTCACTTGTGATTACGTTCCCCTCTCTGTCCTTAATCAACCTCACCTGCTGCACATCCTTCCTTACCATCTTGTTCTTTTTTCCTGAGGTAGTTTTGGCATAACTTGGACCTATGTTTTGGGTTCATTATCTTGCTGTAGGATGAACCTCTGACCAACTAAGCGCATATCAGAGGGTATCACATGGCACTGCTGAATGCAGTGATAGCCGTTTTGGTTCAGGGTGCTGTTCACTCTGTACAAGTCACCGACCCTGGATCCAGCAAACCAGCCCCAGACCATCACATTTACTCCTCCATGTTTGACAGTTGATGTCACACACTTTGGAACCTTCCTCTCGCATGATGAACCGAAGATTTGAATTTTTGATTCATTAGTCCGTAAGACTTTCTGTATATATATTCAAACTTTCTGTACATATATTTAGACTTCTGTATATATATTTAAACTTTCTGTATCTATATTCAGACTTTCTGTATATATATTCAAGGATTAAGTTCCTGAACGGCATGTCATAATATATATATATATGTATATATACACATAAATATATATACGTACATATGTATATATGCATATATATAATGTAACCTATACAGTGTACATACAAAATTTATGTATACTGTATATGTTACAAAAAGGCCTGATTGTTCTTTAGATAAATGCCAGATAAATAAATCAATATTTTAATTTAAATCATCTAATAAAATATATTGTTTATGAACATTAAAGGGATTCTTGATTTAAGTTTTAAGTTAAGTACACCTTTGTAGAAAGAATCTTACGCTTATCCCAAAAAAGCAGGTTTGCACTTGACCACAACACCCCACCTTGTGATAATGCTTTGAAGAATCCAAGTGGATCAGATTCCACCTTCTGCTGTTTTAAATTGGTGCACTAGATTAAATCTACCATTTTATAGCTGCATAAAACCACTCAAACGTAAGGGTTTTTTAAAGAGCAGACATTAATAGGGTGTACTGTCACTTTGTATCAAAGTTGGTTTATATTCTGAAGTCTGAAGTCACAGATATGCTGACAAAGGCTGAAATTGAATACTTTCCCTTTGTGCCAGAGTTTTTATTAAGCTCATATGTTACAACAATAATTGCCTTTGGTTGGGTGTGATTGAAAAGTACTTTTTTGGTTTGTAATTCACGTCCACTATACTTTATTTTATGTATGTTTTGTAGAGTATATGACTGTTGGCCATATCTTTTCAATGTGGCTGTTAAATGGTGAACTGCATTTTATAATGGTGTATTAAATCAATACAGCTGGCTTGGAAACGGTGATCCGATCTAGTGTGTTGAATAACAAACCCTGTCTCCAGCCCCATCATTGCTCTACAGTCTCTCACGATCCTTTGATATGTCACTTGATTCTTGTGTGCACAGTTGTTTAAAACTAAAATATTATCTACTCAACAGAACCCCAAATTCCAGGAACCTGTTACTTTGGATTTTTTGGATGCTGAGTTGGAAAACGACATAAAAGTTGAGGTATACTACACACACACATGCAGGTTTTTGTGTTTTGTTAGCACTAAGCAACCTTAGTCCCTTAAACATTGCAAATACTGTGGTTTCTCGAGATTCAAGCGCCTCGACATACGGGTATTTCGAGATACGAGCAAGTCTTCGAATTAATTTTTGCTTTGAGATACGAGTAAAAATTTGAGATACGAGCACGCTTACAGACGCCAACGCTAGGTGGCCGAGCACTCGGAGCAGCCCAGCCCGCCTCACTCATTCAGTTCACGTGTTCGACGACTTCTGTAAGCATCGCTTCCGTGATTTTCTCTCTATTTTGTGCATTATTCTTCATAATAGTGATGAATCCTAAGAAAGAGAGTGGTAAGGATGGTAGTGAGTCAATAAATATGAGCAAGGTGCCCACGTGAATGATCGAGCGCACATGTATAATTGCAGTACATCCATGAAATGTACCATCCTTAAGTTAAAAAAAAGTATGTAAGTTAAGGTAATTCTAAGTTTATTTAAATTATGTAGGTATTATGTAAGGTAGGATACAGAATCAAGTGTCTACGTACGGGCCAACTCTCTTCCCTCCCTCCCTTCTCCTCTGCATGTGTGAAGGTACGCTACCGTATCATCTGTCTCGGAGGTAAGAACTCAAAATTTAAACAACCACAATTTTATTTTATATCACAGGAATCCTTATATATATATTAAAACATGTTTTTTTCCATTGTTATTAGCACTAATGAGGCAGTTTTTAGAGGGCGGGAATGAATGATTTTTTTTTTTTTTAATTTCTTATGGGAAAAAATTATACAAGATACGAGCACCGTCCTGGAACGGATTACGCTTGTATCTCGAGGTTCCACTGTATATCCATAAGCCTAATTCTCGTCGTACTTGCAAACTAAATCTTGAACATCCAAATGGTCTCTCTCTCTCTCACTATCTCTCTCTCTCTCTCTCTCTCTCTCTGTCTTTCTCTCTGTGGGGACCTACAGAATGTTAAGGACAGTGTCTAAACAACAAAAATCTGAATCACTATGCCCTCATCACACATGCATAAACACAAGGAAAACACATAAATACATAATTACGTACAAGCATACATACATAAATACATTAGGTATGTATGTTTGTATGAGTGTATGTATGTATGTATGTATGTATTTCTGTATGAGACATACATAAATATAGACATAAATACATACATACATACACACAAATATACATACATACATATATACAACATACATAATTTTATTGAATACAGGTCGTATACTACAGGGTTACTTTTTTGTGCAATGTACATTTGTGTACATTGCACAACGGTCGTGTTGGTACTAGTACTCACTAACTAAGGGTTGGGCAACAACAAGATGTTAAATTTAGCACATTTTATTCAGTATTCCTCACTAACTAAGGGTTGGGCAACAACAAAATTTAGCACATTTTATTCAGTATTCTCTATGTACTATATAAAAGAAATACTCTCAAACTTAATCTCAAATAAGTTATTTTCTTGCCACCTCCAAAGGTGTGTTTGTTTGTTTTTTCATCATCATAATGATTAGTTGCCATACTGTCAATAAGTGTGCATTAAGAGACCACTATTCTCTCTCTCTCCGACAGATTAGGAGAATGATGATAGACGGTGAGATCGGTGAACGCACTATTCATACTCTGGTCAAAGCTCAGGATGAGGTACAAGGAAGGAATTTGGCATTTCCCTTATATTCCCAATACTGTGTTCGAAACCTCAAACATTTGTATACTTATACAGAAGAATGGGCTTTACATCTACATTGTCTGAATAATTAGAATGAATTTATCCTAGACGTAAATGTGACCGTGAAAGATTGTTTCTCTCTGTATGTGGCTCTGAAAAAACTACAGTGACATACAGTACATGGAGGTTCTGAACATCTGTCCTTGTGTGTTTTCCCATTTCTGCAGAGGTACATAGACAGAGGAATACGCACCTACACTTGGGCACCTGTAAATGGAACGGACTACAGGCAAGTAAGACATCTGAGCACATTTACTGTAAAATCATTATTAGGAACTACTGGTGGTGAACCAGCAAGGATGACTGACTCTTGTGTCTAATATTAGATAAGATAAGACTTTATTCACTCAAAAAACTGTCCCGGCATTATGGGTACTGTATTTTCTATAAGTCACTCCGGAGTATAAGTCTCACCAGCCACAAAATGCATAATGAAGAAGAAAAAAAAAAAAACCATATAAGTCGCACCAGAACTAGCAGCTGTCAGTGTGAAAATAACAAACATGTAAAATTATATTTTAAATTATATATTATATATTTTAATAGATAAGTCGCAAACCCAGCCAAAGGATGAAAACACTGTTGAATATGCAGTTATATGTGTTAAAACATATATTACATGATATGTAGAATGTGTCTTAGAGTGATATAGAACATATTTGTTAGAGAGTCAGAGATTTTCTGGACAGACACTTTGGAGGCAGGACACTCAAATGAACATCTAACATTATCAGTTGTGGACCAGCTTGATCGTTTTGGTGGGCCAGATGAGGTCTGTGAGGGCGCTGGTTGATGATCACTGATTATCAGTGTGTTGTAGGATGCGACAGAAAACATAAGATTATGCTCAGGAAAGAAAATAATATGAATGTGTGGAAGTGGAATTGGACTACATAATACAGTTAGGCTTGCTTATAGTGAATGACGTATGTAGTATCAGACATATGCTGAGGAATGAAGTAGTAGTAGTACTGCAAGTTTTTGCAATTAAAAGCCAAAAACAAATATTTTAGATTCAATAAATACCCTGCCTTACAATTGTCAACATTATGCTATGTCTTGTCTAAGCAATAGACTGTGGTTATCTTCCAACAGCCTGGCTCTTGTTCTTCCTAAATACAGCGAATACTTCATTCAAGCCAAATTAGGAGATGACATGAAACAAGATATATGTGAGTATAGCGCTTACTCTTATTACAAATGTTCAAATGTTGCAAAAAAAAAAAAAACAGAGCCAAGCATTCTCCACATTCTGTTTCAGGGCTGTATGCCTCAGGTTCTCTCTGTACTGTATGTTTCAGATCAGTGGACCCCCCCAGTGTGTTCCTTTTGTAGTCTGCCTGTAACCCAGTGGTTCTTTAAATCACCTTTTTATAGCGCTTACTCTTATTACAAATGTTCAAATGTTGCAAATGAAAAAAAAACAGAGCCAAGCATTCTCCACATTCTGTTTCAGGGCTGTATGCCTCAGGTTCTCTCTGTACTGTATGTTTCAGATCAGTGGACCCCCCCAGTGTGTTCCTTTTGTAGTCTGCCTGTAACCCAGTGGTTCTTTAAATCACCTTTTGCTTTCTTTTTTTTTTTTTGGAATTTTCTTCTCTTGTCCTTTTATTCTCGCCTTTGAATGTTATAAGCGCATAAACAAAAAGTGAACAAACTTAACTTTTCATACTTCTTTTTTCATACTCTTCATTATTTCCCTTAAAAACTAGCCTCACCACATTCTTTTTATGTGCTCTGATATCCCTCCCTGTGTTGGAATTTATAGCCTCTACTGGAGTAACCCCCCTCCTTCAATCCCCACCCCTCCTTTTAGCCTTGCAGTGCTCTTACAATTTGTAGTTAGGAGCACAGTTTTGCACTCACACAATTTTCAACATGTTAACTATTTGGCTGATCGTGGATGACATTTGACGTGATGCAACAAAGCATAAACTCCTCATAGCAGCAGTATTCGGAAATATGGGATTCTTGACTGAATGCATCCTTTGCTGTGTTCCTGCAGTATAGCAGCAGATTGTTGAACTCTATCTCTTAGCACACAGATAGCACAGCAAAGAGTTTGTTGGCGAGTTTTTCTTTTGTTTTCTGTACAGTGTAGTGTATCACAAAGGCAGAGGCAGACCATTTGTACCTTGGCTATGGATGTAATGGATAAACTTACCCACGGAAAGAAAAAAAATAGTGAGAACGACAATAGTGAAGTGAAGAAAGGTTATACAAAAGCGGATCAGATCTGGCTTTATGGTATGGCTTAGCAAAGACATCGATTTGTATCATCACTAGCAATAAAAGAAGCTAAGGTTGCCAACTGGACAACACAAAGTGTACACAAAATACTGTCGAAAAAAAAGTTTAAATAACCAATCAGAATGGATTATGCCATTTTACATAGATTCCTGTGGGGAAAATTGTTTCAGCTTTCAAACTTCACGAGCGGCCTTCAGGAAGAAATTAAGTTCTAAAACCGAGGTTCCACTGTAAATATATATATCTATATATATAGATATATATATAAAATGGTCACTATCTCTGTTCATTTCTTCTTTCCCTGCGGTCACAATGGAAAAGGGAAAAGAGGCAAGTATTTCTTTATTTGACCTTATTCTACTTATTAACACATCCGCAACCTCATTTCTGAGTATCTTGTGTGTATTTGTGTTATTGGTTTTGGTCAAGTGTACTTGTGCGTGTCACAGTTGTATCCCCTTCTAAATGACTTAGTAAACAGCGTTTAATTGTCACAGCAGCAACAAGCTTTTATGTTAACCCTTTGATGCATGACCCATAATATACTGAGTTAAAAAATGTTACTAAGTGTTTTTATGTGTTTTTAGACATAAAAATAAGAACTGATTTGGTTCTGTTTTTATACACCAAATTTTCTTTTTGAATGTTAACACAATTATTCTGCAGTTGCAAAGGCTGACCACTGTATGGCAGTGTTGGGTGATTCTGAGGCATCCACTGTAGAGGCTTATATGCAACACTGCCATCAAAACCTATTCTTATCATAGAAAATGACATTTTAATAGCTGTCCACTGTAGTGACCGTCATGCATGAAAGGTTTAAAATATCAGTTACGCATGAATTGAAGTTTACACACGTACTGAATTAAAACAAGGCAATTGTGAACTGAACTGAACTGAACTGAACTGAACTGAAGAAGCCTCTTGGATGAGAGGTGAAACGTCTTCTTTTAGAAAATTCACGTCCAGTTGCCTAACAGGACTTTTCAACCCTAATTCTTATACATATTTTTATAAGTCAAGAATGAAATGTTGAGTATTTTGCTCCTTTTTCAAATGTAGCCATAATAAATTCTCCTGCATTAACAAGACGTAAACATTTTATATCCTGAAAAGCAATGAAAACACTGCAGGTGGATGAGTTCGAAGAACATGGTTACACGTACATCGCACCAAGGTCAGTGGTCATCGTATGTTCAAGAAACTCTCTTGATGACCAAAATGTCAGCACAGTCACTAATTAACTCATTAACGAATCTGTCTTAAGGGAATACTGCAAAAGGATGAAAATGTCTCACAACAACACCGAGTTCCTTCTTGACTTCAACCAGTACATTGAAGGAAAAATTCAGGATGTCTGTGAGTAATGGTCTTTTTTTTTTTTTTTAAACCTAACTTATGTAGTTAATTAGCTTTGAGTTTGGCTTTATCAGAATGACAGTAGAGTTTTATTGTATTATTCATACATTTTATTGAGTTAAAAAAATTTCAAAAACTATGCGGAACCTCGAGATACGAGCGTCCCGACATACAAGTATTTCGAGATACGAGCAAGCCTTTGAGCAAATTTTTGCTTTGAGATACGAGTAAAGATTTGATTTGAGCTTACAGACGCTGACGCTAGGTGGCTGAGCACTTGGAGCAGCCCACACCGCCTCACTTGTTCAGTTTACGTGTTCGTCGACAGTACGCATCTCCCACGTCTTCCGTATCGTGTTGGCATTATTTATGTGATTTTCTCTCTATTTTGTGCATTATTCTTCATAGTGATGAGTCCTGAGAAAGTGAGTGGTAAGGATGGTAGTGAGAAGAAGAAACGCATGGTGACCATGGAAATAAAGCATTAAAATTTTTGATAAATATGAGCATGGTGCCCACTAAAGAAAGAATACAAATCGAAAAAAACAAAGACAATAAAAATAGAAAAGTAAAAAAAAAAAACGTAAGTTATGTAAGTTAAAGTATGGTACAGAATTAGTGTAAGGGAGTTTTTTAGAGGACCGGAACTGATTTTTTTTTCTTTTTTTTATTTCTTATGGGAAAAAAATGATTTGATATACAAGCACCTCGAGTTACGAGCTTGGTGCTGAAATACAGTAGATTATGCTCGTATCTGGTATAGGTATAAAAGAAATGCCTAAAAAAGTAAATCAGTATCATATCTGATCAAAAATCGGACATTGCCTCTTACTAATAACTGGTCTTTCAGAAATTGAGTAACCTGAGCACGGTGACCTCATCTCAATAAGTGAGTTTCCTAGAAGCTAAGTCATGCTCTGCTAAATGATGACTCATATTGTTTGACTGGTCATCAGCTAATGGGTCTGACATCATCTCACACCTACTATGGTTTACCACCATCATTAAAGTAATGGATGAAAGTATCCTTGAAATGTGAAGCCCGAGGTTATGTCATGTACATTTCACAGTACTGTGTTCAGAGCCGATGTACTGTGCATGGACATAATGTTAAGCAACTAAAAGAATAAAGAGATGCTACGTGGTAGCAATGCACAGACTACAAACTATTCACAGAAACTTGAGAGAGAATTGAATGTAAAAGCTCATATAACCCATCAACAAACACAAATAACAAACACTCCAAGGAGCAGATCAACAAACCACACAAAAGACGTGAACACAAAAACTAGCTCCAACCCTCTGTGTGTACAGTACATGTACCTTGAGACAACTAGCATCCTGGTTGCTGGAAGCTTCTGTGCAATCTATCAAGACCCAATCGAGGTTAACGAAATTGGAATCCCCCCAAAAATAAAGATTTTGCTTCACATTTCAAAAGCACTGGGATACATTTGGTTGTATTTCTACTGCAAGGGCTGAAAATGACTCCCATGGCAACAATACTGCTTTCATTGAAGAACTCCCAGTGTGCTTTGTGAGCAGAAAAAGTAGATGGAGTAGTAGAAGAGGTGGGTGAAGCATAGGTCACTCGTGTGCGTGCTGAGGCAAAGGCAAAAAAAAAAAAACAAAAAACAGGCCTCTTAAACAGGTGTGTTACCAGAATTTTCTGTTAGAAATGAAGGTACAGGGAGAAAGAGAAGGCGAGTGTGTATAGTGTAGATTAAAACAACTGAAGTACTGTATTGAAAGATTCTTGCTGTGTGAGGTGTCTTCAGGCAAGGAGTGGAAGCAGCCGGGAGAAGGTCGATTTGTTTTATTGACAAACGTCAAGCAAAACAGGTCCAATAATAAAGCGAAAGAACAACCGGGGAAATATTCAAGGAACATACAACAAAGTTATATAGTACTTTAAAATATTTCTCTTATGTCATCAGTGGCTTACGCCTTTTATACGTATTTTTGGGGAGTGGTTTCGGCTTCCCGGGCAAGGGAAGAGAGAGGCTAGGCCTCTTGTGGCCAATCATATTATTGTTCTTGTTATCATGTGATGCCTGCAGTCGCCACTATGTGGTACTGTTGTTCCATGATTCAGCAGTGTTGGAAGAACCTTTTGTTGCTCAGTGGGGGGGTTATCACAAGGGAAGTGGACCGAGCCATGAAGTCCAGTCAACCACAGGTGGTCATGGAGATAAAAAGGAATGGATGGCTTCAGGGTTCCCTGTGAGAAGGTAGATTGGGAGATCTCCCATTGTTCCCAGGGAGTAGAGGTGTTTTAGGGAGAGGTTGGTGTGAAGAGAATTTGGGGAAATTCTCTTTAAATGTGTGGGGCTATGTGACTGTGTGTGCTCGGGAAAGCATTTTGGTGTCTTAGCAGCTTCCTGCTGCAGACGCAACCAAATGAGAAAACCACTGAAATCTAACAGTATCAACAAGTATATTATTTTCCTTGCTCTCATTATTTAACAGTAGCAAAATGCCTTTTACAAAACACGACAAACTAATAGTTACTTAGGCAGAAACAAAGAGTTTTTTTATTATTATGTTATTGAAATGTAATTGTGTGAAAATATGTCAATTGCATCTCACCTACCAGGTTATATGTCCCTTGTGAGCCGGCTGATCCTTGATGCAATCCTGACAGCTGAACTGGTGAAAGTCTGGAATGAAGAGCCAGTGTAAGTGCCCCAAAACCTTTGTCTCTTCCTGTTTTTTACCGTCTTTTATTCTGTTATCACTTTTACTTTGGGTGAATTGAATCATCATGCAGGAAAGCATCACAGACCATGTGATGGTTCTGTCCAGACCTGTGAAAAAAACCTCTGTTAAATTTGCGAGATTAGACGATTTTAATGGAGTCTGTGCAAGTGGACGTATGTTTCTTGCAAATGTTTCCACCTCTTATCCAAGAGGACAGAACTGAAGAAGCCTCTCGGATGAGAGGTGAAACTTCTTCAAGAAACCTACTCTGTCCAGTTGCCCTTGATGGAACTATTTTTTGGAGCTTTTTTTTCTTCGACAGTCGCGGCTATAAACATAGGGCGCTGCTATTCCAATTATAACAACAATAGCTTCACTCAATTGAGCCAATTAAATCATTTGTCGACCTGCTGTGGCCAGTGCATTAGAGCAGAGCAGAAGAGACAGTGATGACTGAATGGCTTGCTCCAAAAGAAAGTTTATGGGGAAAACCGTTGTTTTAAAAGATGTTTCTCTTTTCTTTAATATTAAAAAAAAGCCTTAAATTTATTTGCATGAGACTGTTTTTTTAAATGATAAAATAGCTATCTGTGAACTTGGGTATAACATTTCTTGCATTTAAAAGTCACAATACCTATGTTGAAACTATAAAATGTTATGATGAAATATGAAGATGTGAACAATGGGGAAAGCTATAGGTGACAATATGGTCTTCGCTTTGGAACTTTTTCTTGGTGGAAATTTTAATAACTGGACCGTAGTCGCTTTTAAATGAATACTCCTGGTGTAGAGGTTATCGCGCCTGCCCTACACATTTACCAATAGAATGTCCTGGGTTCCAGCCCCACGGGAACAGCATACTTATATAAATTATAAACAAATATATCATTTTGGAGCTGCACGACTTTATGTCCCGGCTCATGTAATGAAAGTCCTATTTAGACCCTGAAGAAAAATCAGAGCAGGGTCGATGGTGTCAAGTGTTAATTTATTAATAAAGTTGGTTACTCGTGTGAGCAGCAATTTGGTCCTGTCACAATTGCATTTTGCCAGAAGTTGGACTTCTGTTCTGCTCTGCATTGATAAAGCTCCCCTTGACATGCTTTGAAAACATATTGTTACACAGCTCACTGTTGGGTACATTTGGTACTCCTGCGTATTTGTACTTATCGTGACCTGACCTGAGTGGTCCGACATAAAGAAAGAAAGAAACAACACATTTCCCCCCAGTCTGTTTTGCCCAACCATGCCTTTGTTTTTCAGAAGGAAATAGAAGAACAACATCGGTCTGTCCTTTCAATGTACACCAAATGGTGTATTAGACGTTATAGATGGCAAACATTAAAACATAATCAACTACAGGGAAGTTATTTCCTATGTGAGATTGATTTTGATGTTTCATCTTATTGTTGCCTTTTGTCTATGCAGAGAGGGGATAAGAGCCAGGTTTGTAGCCACGGATGGTGGAATTACGAGACTCTTCCCACAAAGGTACTCTACCTATCGATCTGCTTCTATAGGTGAACTGAGACTTGCATGGCTTAATCTTTGAGACAAGCATATGCATATATACATACAAAAAAATATGCTGTATATATATGTGTGTGTGTGTGTGTCTGTGTGCGTGTCTGCACGTGGCTGAACGGGCTACAGCAAAAGCAAGAGCGAGAATTAAAATAGCGACCTCATTTGCAATGTAATCAGAATCTTTTTTTTTCTTTTTTTTCGCCAGTCTCTTGTTAAACATTTACAGCATTTGACGATATGCCGTCTTTTGTTTCATTCACCCCCCCACCCCCGAGGTGGCATGCCTCCCACTTTGGGAACCTCTGCTTGAGGATATAGTTCAAATCCACAACTGCGCTTTTCTCACTTGGATCCAACTTACTCTGAGTCGGTCATT